CATGTTCACTAAGAATGTTGGGGGGCCGGACTATAGTTAGAAAAAAACAGGAGGGTCCCCCCCGCAGAGTATGAGGAGAGGAGGAGAGCCGCCGGACCCGGCATACCTGTCATGTAGAATAGTCCGGCTCTGTGATCTCCCTCCTTGTGTATCACCTGCAGCTCCCGACACTTCTGCTTCTGACAGACAGCGGTGGCCAATCAGGCGGGCGGGCCGGATAAATGACTCTGGCGGGCTGTATCCAGCCCGCGGGCCATAGTTTGAGAGCCCCTGATTTAGTCCATAGTATTCATGGTTTCGACTTAACTGTTATCCTGTTTTTGCTTGAGATATTGCACAATCCAGTTGTTGTTTGGCAACATTTTGGTATCCTTGTACAGCCTTGTACTGTTAAATTTTTGAATGGCTGCAATATTCCAGTTATGGGATGGATCACTTGTGATGTTTTTACTCACAATTATATCAGGATATACATAGCCATGGCACCTATCAAACTATCTGAGAGCTGAAACCCAGAATGATATTGCTATTCACTTCTCCAAGCTCCTGCTTGGTAAGAAGTTCCAAGAATCCTGCATACCTGGGTTTCATTCTCTCTGGAAGGAGGGATCAGTGGAAGCTTATACTATTTCAGTAATAACCAAGTTCATCAATGGAAGAGAATATAAATAACTCAGGGTTGAACTGTGGAGTCCTTGGGGTTCTCTGAGCTTGGTTGTTTTCTTGCAAATGTTTTGTTATCTGGCTAGGATAACAAAACAAGCTCAGAGAACCCCAAGGACTCCACAACCAAGTTTATTATAGATATACCTGTTGAAGGTGGGTGGAAGGACAAGCTCATACAAACAGCAAATTGCAATTCCCGATAACAGATTTCCAGAGGACAACACGTCAGAAGCTCTTTCAGTGCTCAGAGCTAGCTTTGTGCCTCTATGTCAGTCCTATTCAAAAAATCACAGCTTCTATTATTCTCTGACACAAAAATTTTACTTATATCACTTCTATCTGTGGGGAGGATAGGAAGAGGACTCAATCTTTGGTAAATTTCAGAATTTACCTGTTCAGAATTCTCTGTCTCTGTCTCAAGGAACAATCTTCTAGCACTGAGGATTATAATTGGAGTAATTGAGGTAATCAACACTCCTGGCCAGCTGGATCTGACCAGCTATTGTCTTAAGGCTTGATCATCTTGTTCATTGTAATTTGGAATAAAATATATAGTATATCAATAGTATTATTATAGTATATTGAGTAAGAATAGATCAAAGTCTCCCTAAGCAGATGCAGAGGGCATTTTCTTACATAATATATTGTCCCAGCCTTGTTTCATGAATGATGAATGACAACTTCCGTATTGGCTGGGATTATTTTTCAACAATGTTGATCATTTAATTGTGCCTAAAAAGCTTTTAAAAAGAGAAGGACATGTTGGTGAAAAGGTCATGAGTTTGGGGAAGTTACCATGAGGGAAACTTAATGAGACCACTCATCCCCTGGAGGACTTCTTTAGATCAGGAAATGCTGTGAGCCATTGAGGGTATACAGCCATATCAGCAAAACTCTCTGCCACTCCATGACAACAAAGTGAGAAATCCCTTGGAAAGCACCTGAAATAGGGGTAGAAGAAAAACGGAAGCTTTTTTCTCAGGGAGGAAAAAGCAAAACTTTTAGGAAATTGAAAGATTTCAATAAAGATTTATTTATTTATTTATTTATTTATTTATCTTCCTTCCTTCCTTCCTTCCTTCCTTCCTTCCTTCCTTCC